TATAGTCCATGGTTTTTTTCAAAAAATGGCTCCAAATCACCCCAAATTTTTATTACATTTTCTGATGCATATTGATGTTCTTATGCTGTGTAGAAAGTTTGAGGTGATTCTGACTTCAATTTTTCAAGTTACGGCCATTTTAAAAAACATCAAAAACCTGAGAAATACCCAAGGATATAGCCCATAGTTTTTTCAAAAAATGACTCCAAAATCACCCCAAATTTTTATTACATTTTATGATACATATTGATGTTCTTATGCTGTGTAGAAAGTTTGAGGTGATTCCGACTTCAATTTTTCAAATTACGGCCATTTTAAAAAAAACATCAAAAACCTGAGAAATACCCAAGGCTATAGCCCATGGTTTTTTCAAAAAATGGCTCCAAAATCACCCCAAATTTTTATTACATTTTATGATACATATTGATGTTCTTATGCTGTGTAGAAAGTTTGAGGTGATTCCGACATCAATTTTTCAAGTTACGACCATTTTAAGAAAACATCAAAAACCTGAAAAATACTCAAGGTTATAGTCCATGGTTTTTTCAAAAAATGGCTCTAAAATCACCCCAATTTTTTATTACATTTTCTGATACATATTGATGTTCTTATGCTGTGTAGAAAGTTTGAGGTGATTCCGACATCAATTTTTCAAGTTAGGGCCATTTTAAGAAAACGTCAAAATTCTGAAAAATACCTAAGGCTATAGTCCATGGTTTTTTTTTTCAAAAAATGGCTCCGAATTCACCTCAAATTTTTATTACATTTTCTGATGCATATTGATGTTCTTATGCTGTCTAGAAAGTTTGAGCCAATTCCGATAAGAAATTTTTGAGTTATGATCATTTTTTAAAATGGCCAATTTTTGAAAAATACCCAAGGCTATAGCCCATGGTTTTTTCCAAAAAAAAACTCCGAAATCACCCCAAATTTTTATTACATTTTCTGATACATATTGATGTCCTTATGCTATGTAGAAAGTTTGAGCTAATTCCGACTTTAATTTTTCAAGTTACGGCCATTTTAAGAAAATGCCAAAATTCTAAAAAATACCTAAGTTAAGAGAGATTTTTCCCTTGTACCTTATATTCGTATAGTATTAGTGATGTGTGTGAACAGTGGAGTGATCAACTTGAGCCTCCAACAAAGGAATCACTGGCAGAAGCATGGAAGTATGTACTAATTATATTGCATCTTGTTACCTGAAACCCATTCTTAATTGATTAGATGGATATTGCATATTAATCCAAAAGGAATGTGCAGCCTCCTTGAGTCATTACATCTTGTACTAGAGAGCCCAGCATATGATGACGGTATATTACATTTATAATAATAACAAATTAACTTTGTATTTTTAGATATAATGACAAGAGATCCAATAGGTCTTTATTTAATAATTAGTAGCATGCCCAATCAAACTGAAGTAAAATATTATCGACAATATTATATCTTTATT